CACAATCTTCACATCTACCCTCCTCTATAATCATGATTATCAATAACAAAGTAATGAAAGTCTTTTTTTATCAATGGTTACAAACCTTTAGATATCACACTCACTATTGTTATTACTGCACTAAGAGTTGGGCATCTTTTCTTTTTTAATTTAGTATCACTCCCTGCAAGGCAGTAAAGCTAGTAAGACACAAAGGGTTACAAGGTGTGGAAGAATTAGGAACAGAAACATTAATAATGATCAGAAAGAGTAATCAGGAGGACAGTAGATAGCAATTGATATAGTATTTAAATTTTTGCAGATTAAAGTTGGCTGGAAAGGGAGTTCCACAAGTGAGAATTGCAAGAAAAGAAACTGTTAGCATAGAATTTATGGTTACATCTAGTCAGCTCAACTGTAAATTGATGAAATCTCAATGCCAGTTTAGTACTTCGCTTAAATTCCAAAAGTCTAGGTACCATAGCAAAGAGCTCATCCGAACAATTAACCATGAAAGTATTTAAAGAAAAGACAAAGAGAAGCAACCTTACAGTGGTGAGAAAGTGACTGAAGTTGAGTCTCCATATAAGGACTAATAATATTGCTGATTCTTCTTCAGACCTTATCAAGGAGCTCAAGATAAACAGCAGGGAGGCACTGGACCATGTATGGCAGCAATATTCTAAGCATGGATGAATGGTAGACTTATAGATATGCAAGATAGATTCTGGAGAGAAAAATTGTCCTGCATGCTTTATTTTTTCCTGTTATTTTGGATGCTGGATTAACCCTGAACTGGTTTGGAAATGATCATTACATTTCATATTGATGTAATGTTCTTCAAACAGAAAAAAATCTAATGCTTTGTGCAATTTGTTCCATAACATTTATTATAGAGAGGATAAAGTAAATAGGGACAATTGTCCTAGCTGCAGATGCTGCACAAGAAAGAAATACAATTAAAATGCAATCATGCTTAATTATGGGCATTTAGTTATATGAATAAGAAGCAAGATTTAATAACTTCAATTATGCTTCATTTGAGAATTAGTTTTGTGTCTAAGTCAACTCCTAAATTTGGAAATCTCAAATTCCACTGCTGATATTTTCAAATTTAACTTCAACTTTCACTTACATCATTTGCATGACTTCAAAAAGACAAAGCTAAAACAAATAAACTTCTTACTTACAAAAGTATACACACTTCATTCATTATGCTGTGACATTTATATAGAAAACATTTACACACATTTATAGTACTGGCTCTTGAACAAAGTTTTACTCTAACATGGTAATTACCATAGTATAGTAACACTTTGTTCATGGATGACAACAAACTTGTATGTTTCATAGAAGGCACTTTATATTTACAAGACTTTCATGTTACAATAGTTTCAGACATTAGCATATTTGGAAAAGGAAGTGAATTAACGTCTTACTTGATAATTTGATATGATCATCGCCTCAGTCATACAGCTTTGACCAGAGATGAGGAAGATCTAAAGTTACAAGTGTGGTTGCTCTGACAAAGAGGTGACAACTCCTGCAATTCTTGCAAGACTCAATGCAATGTCTTATCCCTTGATATGTGTACAGATTACAGCTGTCGAGTGCAGACAACATTAATGCTACATATTATGAACAAAGACTTAAGTCATCTACAAAGTTAAAAAACACCTCCACCTCAAGAGAAAAAACAGATTTTAAAAGATTAAAGAAACTAATATAGTTTCGATTTTGCATGATTATTCTAAAACCAAAAAGCTTGCCAAAAATTGTCATGGTTAAATACAATTTCAGAGATTGGCATTAACTTTTCTTGGCTTTTCTAAAGCTGTAACTGGATAGACAAGAAAAAAATCTTGAGACCAAACAAAATGAAGAACATAAGTTTCTTTGAATATTCTGATAAGAGATACAAGAAACAGACAAATATTCAGTTATAATATTTGTAACAGAATCATTTAGACCAACCAAATTTCACCATGAGCCAATATCTTTCCATTATAGAAATAGAAAATTTTACATTTTTCTATATTACCTATTTAAAAAAAGAAAAAAAAAAAAAACTGAAAAATAGCTTTCCAAATCTAAGTTTAATTTATTTTAATTTGTCTGTTGTATTTAAGTTTCGTTTACAAGTCTGTTTCTGCATCAAATGCAAGATGTGATAGAAAACTTTACATACTCATTTGATCCATATTAAAGAAATATGTTTCAAGGCTTCATTTGTGCAGTCAAGGCTCAAGAATCAGCAAGCTAACAGGATGGTTCTAGGAAAATCATAATTGATGCCAGTCCATGAGGGTGAGGCAAAAAAAAAAAAAAAAAAAGGTAAGAAAAGATTTATGTGAAGAGGAAAATGGTTGAATATCAGCAAGGAACTCTAAACAAAGTCAAGGCTGACAAGCCGGCCTGGGTCATAACACCAGACAATTGAAGACAAACTAGAAATTCATACAGCCACTTTCATCTTGAGAGCACCTTGTTGAAGTGCATCTGAGCAGAAAGTCAAGGCTATTTCCTTTTCTGACTTGGGTTCAAAGCAATTTTTATCTATTATTTAGAACTCCAAGAAAGGTGAAGCCAGAATAAGACAGAAGTCAAGTAGGAACAAATTATCTATTTGTGCATTAGAGCAGGAATTCTGAAGAAAGATGTCAAATCATTGACAGAGTGGTCACAGATTTTTATCACTAAGTAAATATTAGTTGGGCTAGGAGAGAAACTGGTTTCAGGTTGAATGAACACCAAGAGTCATTAATCAAATCTGTACATCTGCTTAGCATAGTGGTCAGATATTCTGGACAGAACTATAGCAGAGGAAATGACACATCAACATATGTGGATTAATTGCTGAAATTAATGAGTTTATTTTCTTTAACTTGGATATAGATTATGAATGGATGCAATAACTTCAATACTTCAATAAAAAAAATAAAAAAAACCCAAAGCACTTTGCACAGTATCTGATTTCTCCTCCAGAATACTGCTCTCTCAAATAATGATGAAAAAGCAATTAACATCATTAATAAAAATAGTTTTTTTGTTTTTTTTAATTATTTCACATCAAACAAGGCAATAAAGCCGCTAAGACTCAAGGTGTTACCAAGTGTGAAATGAGCAAAAGAAAATCATAAAGGAGAGAGAACAATAAAAGAACAGGAATTAAGACAAAAGATGATAATGACTGACATTGCATTTAAATTTTTGAAAATCAGCATTAACTGGAAAGCAAAAGGCTGGAAGAGAGTTTTGAGCAAAAAGTGAGAGAGTAGAAACTGTTACTATAAAACTTATGTTTACACCTACCCATTTCAATTGCAAGATGAGACCTAGCTGCCAATCTAGTACTGCATTTTCGTAAAATCAGAACAATTACTACAAAATTATTTATAGAAAAGGGAAAGTGATTGAAATAGATGCCAGAGCAAGACCAATAACACTACACATTTGAATCTTATCAAGAATCTCTAAATACATTGCAGAAGCACCAGACCAGATGTGGCAACAATATATATATATATATATATATATATATATATATATATACACACCAAAATGTAATTGTTAGAGATTATTACAAAGAGGGCTTTTCAGTTCATATGAGAGCTCAACACACAGATACAGAGCAAATTATATGAATAATTAGAAAAACACTTAAAAATCCATAGTTAGTAATAAATTTATTTTGATGAATATAAGTATATTCATCTCATCAGACCAACTACATTTTATGAAATGGAATCAAGATATCCCAGACAGACAAAGATAAAAAATTAAAAGTAGAAAAAAAATACAAGATAAAACAAGCCAAAACAAATTGACCTAGAAAAGCTTGGGGGGGGGTACGAAAGAAACAGAAAAAAGAGTTAATATAAAGAGTAAACGAAGGTAAGGTTATAGAAAGGTTAAATTTAAAACCAAAGTACAATAAAGTGTCAAATAAAATTCACAAAAGAAGGGGTTAGAATGGTGTACATTTAAACAGCATCATAATACTCATAATAATAAAAATATATAATATACATATAAGAAAACTATATATATTATTATAAACATAAAATATCAAACACATATATGCACACACAGACATATATAACACACACACACAGAGAAAGATTCAATACCTTGGTTTAAAAGAAATTTTTATAAATGAAAAAGCTTTCATTTTAGCTTAAGTTGAAAGCTAAATGATTAAATTTCCTATTTACAGTAAGCAAAATACTCTGGTGTATTCCAAATAGAAATTATATCTATTGAAATCTCAACTTTTTGGTCACTTTCACAATAATCAGCCAATTTTGGCACATTTGTAAACAAAAATTAATTCTAAGGTTTAAAAATCTTCCAAAAATAAAATATACTCTTCTGAAACTTGAAGAATATTAGCTGATTTAAAGTATAATTAATCTGATTTGAAAAAAATATTAACTTTAAGTTTAAAATAACAGACAAATGGATTTTTAAAACAAACAGTAGTGGTGATTATGTGCTTATTGGCATCACTTGTACATCACTTAACAAGTTATAATAAAATGTGTCAACACCTTGACTGTCATTCTACAGATAAATTATATTTTAACAGATAAAGTAAGAAAATGATGAATGATCACCTTTTTTTATATAATTTTTAATTACTCAGCAATCTTAAAAATGCTGGTAAACATTCTCCATAATCTAATTTTAGGAATGTTGAATATAAATTTACTATAGTCATCACTCTTATTTTCTGATTAGGTCATGTATAGTCAACCATCAAACAGGCACATTACGTAATATTTTATACGCATAAAAAAATATTAAAAATTATTTCTAAAATCTTGGTGCAAAATACTTTGTATTAAGCTTTTCAATTTTTGATTAGTAAATATAATTTTCACTTAACAAAGGAAGATTATGTAGACCCATACCTTACCCAAGCATATTTGCATGTAAGTGAATGCAACAAACCTGACTGGAATTGGAGAGCTGATTTCCAATTTCAAGACGTCAACTATTACACTGCTTAGGCATCCAAGATTACAGTACTTGGCATTCCCAAGTGGTCACCCATCTAGGTACTAACCAGCCTTGACATTGCTTAACTTTGGTGAACATATGAAAACCAGTGTATCAACATGATATAGGCTGTAAGCCTATAGTTATAAGAGTTGCAATTCTTATAACATTGTAAAGAGAGACATGGACTACAGCATGTTTATATATTGCTCTCATCATGTGAGTAAATAAGTTGAGAGAAAATCAGGAGGTAACAAGACAGACATAAAATTTGTTTAATAGACAAACAAGAACATGAGAGAGAATGAAAGCAAAATTCTATTTACACACATTCTAGATGTAAATATTTTCAAGAAAGATGCATAAAACTGATACAACTAGTAAGATATGAAAGACTGTGCCCAACATCTGCTTATAAAGAGATAAGCGCGTACATAACATTATACATTTTCAATTTGAACAGTTTATCAGCTTGTGAATGAAAAAAAAAAAAAAAAAAACCTATTTTCGAAAGAAAAAAGAAAAAAATTCTTATACATATAAATACTGTGTAGCATCAAAACTATTTGTGTAAAGATTGATATTCAATTATGTTGATTACATTTATGAAGTGAGAAAACTCTGAAAGAAGCCTCTTATCTCTTTATCAGTAAAAGACAGTAAAATTAAAGAAATTATACATTCACATACACAAAATGTCAGATTTTATTATGCGAGTCAATGTTTTCAGGATGTGATCAAACCAGCAAACACGGTGCTGAGCAATGGTGTGGAAGATTGTATAGTTACAGATATTAAATTTTAATTTCAGATATAATTTATGGTATGGCAAGATATAACCTCCAAAGTGAAGAGATTGAAAAGCTATAGAGTAACAGTAATTCAATATTAGAAATTGCAAAATCGTTGAAGAGAGATCATTACATAATCAATGCAAAATTGAAAACACTGACAAAATCAGAACAAAAATAAAAAATTTTTTAAATGTTACAAAAATGATTTCAGAAAAATTCAAAGTGCAATAAGCAAGAAAATTTGATTGATTAAAAAAAAAAAAATTAGTTGACAAAGCTGGTGTCATCAATGTAAAGAGAAAGAAAATGTAAAGAATATTAAGTAGATTGGTTGCTTTCATGCCTTTAGCCAAACTACCACATTTCTAAAAAGTAACTAAGTTTTTGATATCTGTCAAGCTCCACTGGCTAGATCTGATAGCTGGGTTAGAGCTTATGTCTTTGGCAGAAACAATACAGAAAAAAGTGGATTAACATTTTCAGCTAAGATTGCAAACAGTAAAATAATAGATTTTTCTAAGTTGCTGACAGTAAGAAGATGCATGCAGGAAATTATTGTTAAGTTCTTGAAGATGGCTTTTGAGTGTCACAAATCACATGCAAGACACTTCTTCACATTCTTCAAGTTCATCTTACCAAAAAAAAAAAGGGTCTCAAAGACCTCAAATCTTCAGTTTCTCTAAATATTAATCTAATAGAAACCTTATGATCAATCATTAACATTGGTGTAGGGAAAAGAATATTCAAGCAAAGATCTCTGGGAAGCACAAAACTGTTGCAAAGCTGAAACAGTATAGAATTTCTGCAAAAATCAGTGAATGCAAGACTGATAAAGGTTATAGAAGATCAAAGAGCCCATATTATCATACAAAGTAAGAAAATTTTTTCAGGTATATAGATTCATATTAATCAAATAGGTTTCTATGGCTAGCATCTTTTTGGATTTATAAATTAATTTTTATAGCATTTAGTTGTTTGCATAATAAAGTTTAACACCTCCAAAACAAGTTAGGTTGGAATTAAAGTTCTGTCCAATTTTTGAGGTGAAAATGTTGAACAAAATTTATTAAAATATGTATTAATGTTTTATGTCATTTAATAATGCTATTATAATTAATTTCTATCTTTTACTTTCAAATTATAAGAATATTATTCATAATATAGTTTGGAGCTTGCCCCCTATGTTTGTCCCAACTAAAGAACACATTAGAAATGCTTTACTCTGAATTTCATAAAAGTGTCAATATAAGTGTAGCAGCAAAATCCATACAGTATGTTTATGAAGTTGATGCATCAAGTGCAAGAAGCTGAAGAGCTGGTTTTCTGGGTTTCAAAACTGGGAATTTTAGTCTAGATGACAAAAGCCAAAGGAGAGTCAGCCAAAAGAACTTGATTAAAAGGATTTCAGAAAAATTCAAAATTCAAAATGCAATAAACAAGAAAATTTGATTGGTTAGTAAAAATAGTTGATAAAGTTGGTGTCATCAATGTAAAGAGAAAGAAAAGGTACAGAATTTTGGATCCTGCACAACCTGTCCCCACAGAATCGACAACGATGTGTTGTTATGAGTCATTCTTTACACAACTTCTAGAACCCTTTTTGGACAGTCTTGTCACCATAATATTAAGTGCCACTATCAGTGTGGGGGGGGATAGACCTGAGCAGCAACCTAGTGGAGGAATTCATTCAAAGAATATCATGTCAAGCATATGGCGGAGATATTCAAGGAATCATCTATTATGAATTGTTAGGCAATATTCAAACAATCAACACTGATCTTCAATGCCAACAACTTTGCCGTTTGAAAGCAGCTTTGAACAGAATACGTCCATCTTAAGCAACAGAAAAGCAGTAATCCTCCTTGACCACAATAAAGACCGATTGACTGATGACTGCATGGCTGACTTTGAGGAGTTTGATTGGGAAAAAGTTGCTTCATCCTCCATATTCTCCTGACTTTATTATTTTTGATTATCACTTGTTTAGGGATTTGCAGATCCATTTTAGTGACCTATGGTTGACATCAAGAAGAGGTTGAACAGGAGTTGATCTTGTATTTTGCATCAAAACCTAAAGAATTATATAAATGTGGCACCTATAAACATGACAAATGGAACAAGGTTCAAGGAAGCAATGGAGGTTTTATTGAGGAGTAAATATTTCTATATTCATTAGTGTCTTCATTTGTAATGCACATGATAAAATCAGACAGAACTTTCATCCTCACTTGATAATTAGGATAAATCTTCCAACCTCACACTCTCAATATATATTGCTACAAAAAAAAAAAAAAAAAAAAATAAATATAATTATTTCCTTAAAATTTCACCAACATTTGTTGGCTATTAGGAATTTTATTGTGGAATTTTTGATTTGCATAAGAAAGAAAAGAGGTATATGAGAAAATAAAATTGTAACACCAAGAATATCCAATCATCCTCATCTTTGTTGCCATATTTATCACAACACTTCAGCCGTTGTACGCACTGGCCTTCTTCAGGTTGTTGGAATGTCGAACTGAACCCTTTATTTCGCTCGCTGGGGTAGACTGTTCTAGTTCGACATGCCATGTCTCATGGATGTCAATTATCAGTTATCTCCTGTTAATCTCCCTCTCAAAGTTCGACATTCCAACCATCTGAAGAAGGCCAGAGCATACAACGGCTGAAACGTGATAAATATGGCAACAGAGATGAGGATGATAATCTGAACAATGTTTGCCCCGGATTCAGCTTGCACTACAGCCTGACGCCTGATTGATTTCGTCTACCTAAGATCAAATACCAACGTAGGTAAGTTAGACTAGAGATCAAAGCAGTTACTTCGGTAACCAGACGTTGGAAGTGAGCTGGGAACAACAAAGCTGATATCGAATCTAACCAGACATCGACCGCGACAACCAGAGGGGTTAGTGTCACACATGGTTCCGTGGTAAACCAGATTTCCATCCAAACCAGCCATGGGTTAGATCGTCACAGATGGTGCTGCAATCAGCCCATGTTAGAGTGGGTCACATTTGGAAAGAGTTGGATAAGTCTCATAGTGATTATGAAGGCACAGTGACTTGAAAAACTCACTCTGATCATTTTGTTAAGAAAATAAAACTCCCAAATTTATTGGTAAAGGCCTCAAACTCAACACAGAGGCCTACATCAAGTGGCTTAGGGAGATAGTTGCTTCCTTGGGTGAAGAGGGTATCTGATGGGAGACCCTATGTCTGGCAACAGGACTCTCTACGATGCCATACAAGCAGGAGAACCCAGTCATGGCTATCAGACAATTTCTGCTACCACATCACCCTTTACATCTAGCTACCTAACTCCCCAGACTGCAATCTCCTTCATTATTATGTGTAGAGTACAGCTGAGCACAAAACTCCTTATAACAGCAATGATGAACTGAAGGCAAGGATTATGGCAGCATTCACCAACTTAAACAAGGAGACCATGTAGAACAGTAGGAAGAGATTCCTAAGTCATCTGGGAAACATGATTGAAGCCAATGGCAATTTTATTGAATAAATTTACTCTTTAGTATTTCAAGATATTTGTGTAATTTTGGTAAATATATCTGTTTGAGATGTCAGTGTTATTTTCATTTTTGCATAATTTAGATGACAATTTATTCATCACACCCTCTGTGAGTGTGTGCGTGTATATATATATATATATATATATATATATATATACACACACACACACGTTATATTGTTCTTTTTTTCTTTTTTTTTTGTTTAATGATGATTATTTAAAAGATGTCATTTTGAAATCTGCCATGGAACTTATCATCCAACAATTAGTCATCTAATTAGACCAGCAATTGCTTCTAAGTTAGATCAATCATGGATCTACAAAGTATATATCATGCTATCTAATTGGTATACTCACTTAGAAACAGTGACCATGTAACTCCAACTTAATTTACAAAACTGACAATGGCTTCATCTTAAACCAAAGCTTTGTCAGAATATGTCACAAAAGGTTCTTTGATTATCAAAAGAAACTTTTTGACATTTTGTGACATTTTCTGACAAAGCTTTTCCAAGAGATTTTAAAGCAGTAAAGACTGACATTTTGGAAATCACTTTACTTTGCAAGGCAGAGCAGCACAAGCAAATGAAAAACATTTTATAAAATTCATTTAAATAATATTTAGGAAAAATATACTGGGCTTATGAATATTCACTATCATTATAAAAGGGAGTGTGTTGGATTTTGTTAATAAAAGGATAGAGACCACATTTCTTTTTGGTTTGTATTATCAATTTTTCTTAAACCAGAGTTAAGATATTCTCTTCATTCAGCTGAGGTTCCTTCTCATCTAACAATTTGTCTTCTGAAGAATTAAAGAGATAAAAATTTGAAATTCTGAATGTAAGTATGGGTTTTATTTTGATGAGATTTCCCCCCCCTCTTTGAAACTAATACCATTGTTAAACTTACATCAAATCTCTAGAATGTTTTTATGACAGATTTCTAGTGAAATGAATGATAGGCTTTTATGTTCATGCAGACAGCCTTTTATCAAAAAATAAAATAAACAGAAATACTAGTAATCACCAGCATAAAGCCAGGTTTACTTTAGTGACTGAGAAAAACTAGATACAACAAGACCAGCTACTTTTCCTGACAGCCATAGTTTCAGAACCAGGTCAGATTATCTGTTGTGCTGAACCAACAATTCAATAATACATATCTGACTCAAAATTTATTCATCTTTCATATCTCTACAGTGTCAATGACTGTTAGAAATTTATATTTAAGTATTATTAAATGTAAAATTCAATAGAAGTAGATAGGTTTGCATATCGCCCCAGTCTTTTGAACTGGTGTAGGTTTATCCCTTGTTTACTGTTTAGGATTGGGTTCCTTGTTCCTCCTAAAGTCTTTTCATTTTCTTTCATTTCCAGAAAACCCTTGCATCTTAGTGGCATTATTGCCTTGTTTGGGTTTAATGGATTTAAAAGTATTAATTTGGAATTAATTGAGTGTATGAATTAACCTGAAAATTGCATGAAATTCAAATGCTTGATCATAATTTTGATTGAATTAAAAGAGGTACCAGACCATTGAAAAATTGATGGTGTACCTTTTTATTGTGGAGAGGGGAGGAACTAATTTCAATTGGGCAAGAAGCCCATGGCAGTAAATAGTCATCGAACTCACCTTAGATAATTGCGTTAATTTATAGCTGTATAACACAAACTACTTTAATTAACATAATTATGATCAATTAATTAAATTAGCCATTAGACCATCATTTCAGAGATGTATAATTAAAAAGTGAAAAAAATTCTTGTTCATCATGTAGATATAAATCAAAAAAAAAAAAAAAAAAAAAAAAAAAAAAAAAAAAAAAAAAAACGAAATGCAGTGGAATGAAACCCTAAAATCAATAAAAAGATTGGAAAATAGGTTTCATATGATGACTGAAAAAATCCAGTTTGATTTATTCATCATATTTGCAGTGAGGCTTCCAACTACAGATAATGAATTTGTCATGATTTATAGAATATTGCAAATAAAATATTTTATTAAATCTATTGAAAGAATGAATAGTTAATGTTCTATCTGGAATAATAAATGAGTTGTTATTTCTGGTTTTCAAACAAAGGCTCCCATGAACACTTCCGTCCATCATTCAGTGTCAGACAAGCAGTGTGTTTACCAAAAGAAAACCCACAATTCATTAGAGACAAAATGTGTGAACAAATGAGATTTTCTGCTTTTCACACAAACATCTGTATGGGTCATCACTTCATATCTTCTATAAAAATTGATCCCAAGATATTAAGACAAGAAAGACAAATTAATATATAGCAGAGAATGCTATGCAAAGTTCTTTCAAAATCAATATAAACTGCTTGGCAAGCTTGACATATGGGAAAGATAAGATAAACTGCTACATTTACTGGGATTGATTGATTTGCTTTTTTTTTACTGTTTATCAACCCTTTGTGTGTTATTTACACCTGGAATGCATTTTGGATTGTGAGAATAAATCTTCGTTTTTCTGCAAGTGAATATTGCCTTAGCAATTGTTTTGAAAATCAATGACCCCCCCCTCCCCGATACAAGCCTTACTATTAAAACCAAACATTTCCCAAAGGTAAGTGAATGCAAATTTGAACTCTGCTCTCTAATTTCTCATTCCAACTCTTATCAGAAACAAACTACTTCCATTTGGATAGGAAGCAAGTTAAACAAGTACATTAAAATAGAATTAAGGGTAAGACAAGGATGCATTTTCTTACAGAATTTATTTAATCTATACAAGATGATGCTAAGGGCCTACCAGGATTTATTATTATCAGTAGCCATAAACTTAAGATACACATGGATGACACTGTTAATGAGAGACTCAAAAAAGAAACTACAAAAACCTTTTAATAAAAGTGAAAAAAATGAAGAATCATTAACTAGAAAGACAGAATGTACAGTTGTCAGTAACAGAGGTAGCTAAAGATATGAACTTTGAACTGGAGACATCAAAATCATGCAGGTAAAAAAAGGTTTGACTATGTGATGTAACAGTTGACAGAAAGTATGACACAGAAATCTGAAGGTATGATGGAATTGTGAAAGATGCCTTCCAGAAACTAAGCAAAGTGTTAAGAGGAAGGAATATTTCATTAAAGACAAACAAAAAGAGTTCTGAACTAATAGATCCTATTTATCCTCCTGTATGGCAATGAGGGTAGGACAATTTTTTTACAGGTGAAGGAGAGATTTGGAATGACAAAATGTGGTTTTACAGACCGATGCTGAGAATATCCTGAACAGAACATGTGAGTATCAAGGAAGCATTGAGGAAAATGAACAGTAGAAAGAAATTTGTACTTAAAATTGGAAAGAGTTGAAATATCTCAGAGACACTATGAAGACAGACATCTGGGAAAACACAGGGCATACTCTGGGAAGGAGGAAGAGAGGAAAACGGTGTGCAACTTACCTAATGACTGTGTGAATAGATAACAGAGCAGGGATAAGGGGAAAAGGTAAACAGTTCTTAGAGCTACAAGAGAGAAGTTGTGAAGAGCCATGACTGTCTATGTCCTGAAGCACATAAATGATGATAATGAAGGGTAAAAAGCAAACCAAAGTTAAGGAAGGATGGTTAAGATTCAAACTTTCCTTAGAACTATAAGGGAGAGGAAGTTATGGAGAGCCATGACTGTGTGTCCTGAAGCATATAAATGATGAAGGCAAATGCAATGCTAAGAACATTATCTGTGTATCAGCACATTTCACTTATTGCTGATTTTACAAATCAGCTAAGAGTTGCCCTCTAGCATAATCTTATACTAATCTTCAATCACTATCAAACCGTAAATCTAAAGGGTTACAAGCTAATCCTCTAACCAGTGAGCCAGTACCCCAGGGAATAAAATATTTCATTGTTGGTATTAAGGAAATTGAAAACTAACAAACTCACTGACAAATTATTGATTTGTGTTTTCATAACAAAATTAATTAGTTAATAATTTAATTTTGAATTTATAGCTTTATTTTCGTGTTTATTTTTAGGACATTTTTTTTTTTTTTTTTATTATTTCATTTCAAATATCTGAAATCTAGCTTCCAGAAAGCAAACATGATTGTTCCTTGTTTTTGCTTTTAAATATGTTACTTATTGATTTTTACACCTTTTCTGTTATTCATTTTTTGTTATTTTTAACACATTTATATCTTTGAAAAGATCTTAAAACTTTGCTTGCTTACTTCATTTTTTTTTTTTTTCATACTTCAAAGCTTTTTTTCATTTTCAAAAGATATAGAATCAGCATTGCTTGTTAAAATGATTTCTAAGATCATCATTAACCCTTAGTGCTTAATTTATTTTCTTTGCTTTATTTTCAATATGCAGAATCATTTATTTGTTTATATTCCACCATTATAAGAAAAACAATTTATATCATCTGATAATGCACTTTGTATCAAAGTGAAACATTTCACCTTTTCAAAAACTGAGGGTTTCAGTAAAAATTTGGCATTATTCAAAGAAATCCTTTCCTTGTCTAATAAATTCCCAGTAATTATGAAAGTATAGAAGAAAAATCCAAAAAATATTAATATTTCTACTCAATGCAGTTTTGTGGTTTTTAATGAAAAGTCAAGTATTAATTTTTGTATTAATGAAATAGAGGAAAGTGTTCAGCTTGAATCTTAAAAGCTTTAGTTACATTAGGAATATGCAAAAGATGCTTTTCTGAAAACAAGTACTAAGTGACAAGAAAATGAGATTTGTTTTCTACGACTTAATTATTTGCAGGTTATTTAAAGCCAGAAAATACCGTTATATTATACTTTTTTTTTTTTTTGAGATAATGTTTTACTAATTAACCCATAGCTGGAAGGAGAAGAGGTGAAGTCAGACCTTTTTCAAGGGTATTTGCACATAAATGAATATAACAAAAATACTGTTACATTATAAGATTTTTGGTGGGAGTAGGGGGAGATAATGTTTTACTAATTAACCCATAGCAAGGGAAGTTTGTGTAAATTAATGATGGAATAAGTAATAAAAAGTCAAAGAGGAATCAAAGGAGAAATTAGTACTGAGAGCAACAAGAATTATGATTGAGCCCATTCTGAATAATCATATCAGAAAATGAGAGGAAACAGTATGTAAGCAAATATGAAAAATTTAAGTAAAATAGAGAAACAGATTTTATAACTGATAACAGTTGAAAGTCATTTGACAAAATTTTGGTATATCACCTGTATATAATGAACTTTGTTAATTCCTCATTAATTTCAAAGTTCAGGTAACATTTTCCATTTCTACTTCAGAAATACATTTAAAAATTAATGAATTATCATTGATGTTAATTGCTCAAACAGGTGTAAAAAATTTAAATGAGTCAATGTGTCTTAATTTGGACCTCACATCCACAGTCACCAGGAAAAATTAAACCCATAAAGAGTCATAAGAAAATTTTTGTAATAGAAGGTCTTTGTAAGTTGATAAGAATAGACAGAGAAACTAACATCTAAATGGGGAGAGAGAGAGAGAGGCAGAGAGAGAGAGAGAGGCAGAGAGAGAGAGAGGCAGAGAGGGAGGCAGAGAGGGAGGCAGAGAGGGAGGCAGAGAGGGGCAGAGAGGGAGGCAGAGAGGCAGAGAGGGAGAGGAGAGAGGGGAGGAGGAGGGGAGAGAGAGAGAGAGAGAGGGAGAGGGAGAGAGAGAGAGAGGGAGAGGCAGAGAGGGAGAGGCAGAGAGGGGAGAGAGAGAGAGAGGAGAGAGAGAGGGAGAGGCAGAGAGGGAGAGAGAGAGAGAGAGGGAGGGCAGAGAGGGAGAGGAGAGGGGAGAGGAGAGAGGGAGAGGCAGAGGGGAGAGAGAGAGGGAGAGTCAGAGAGGGGAGAGGCAGAGAGGGGAGAGGAGAGAGGGAGAGGCAGAGAGGGAGAGGGAGGGAGGGAGAGGGGAGAGAGAGAGGGAGAGGGAGAGAGGGAGAGGCCGAGAGAGAGAGGGAGAGGCCGAGAGGAGAGAGGGAGAGGCCGAGAGAGAGAGGGAGAGGCTAGAGAGAGAGGGAGAGGCAGAGAGAGAGAGGTCGCGAGGGAGAGGCAGAGAGAGAGGTCGCAGGGGAGAGCAGCAGAGAGAGAGAGTTCGCCAAGATGTTGTTAGTTAGATGGCACTGTTAGGCAGCTATAAAAACAGGGACACTTCCTGTTTTCTCTTTCTCTCTCTACCTTCCAGCATACAGTAGAAAATATTGCCAACCTGGACCTTCTTCCCAGGTATGGAGATACATTTCCCATTAGCGAATTTTCACACTCACGTAATGGCTAACTTTTAATGTTTTTTTTTTTTTTTTTTTTTACATTAATACTGGTCTATTTTCTCTCCTTTGTTACTCAGTTATATAAAAACCAACATATAAAATATTGCCTTACACCGGTCATTGGCATGTGTAAAAGTAAAATTTTGTTTGACACCGGTATAACTAGGAGCCGTGCTGTAACAAACTGATAGAATTAATGTAAAATTAATTTGAAACTTATTTCTTTTAGTTTCTTTCTTCTGAAGTTAGTGATGAAAAATATTTGTATGAAAAACTTGTGATAAATTTCTGGATACAGAATGAAAAGTATTAAAAATTGTTGAGACACATGCTAAGTTGTCATGAAAAATAGAGATAAACACTTCTTTAAATATTGAAAACTCTGATCTTGAAGTAGTTAAAAAAAACAATGATTAATATATGAATGAGTCTCTGTATGTTTCTTTTAGTATAATTCGTTTATAAGAACCCAGAAACTTGTCCACTATTAAAAAAAAAAAAAAAAAAGCCTTACTTCAAAAGAAATGAGTTGAAGCTTCTCAGCTTTTGCTTCAACAAAATTCTACTTCTTCACAAAGAAAAAAAAACCTTTAAAGTCTTGAAAGTTGTATCTTTTCTGAAAGTCTTCTCTCTCACGCACACACACTCATGCCCGCGCATGAACTCTCCCCATCTCGCATGCACACACGAACTCTCTCCCCCTCTCGCATGCACACACGAACTCTCTTGTTTTCTTGTGTTTTATCTGTTGTACTGAGTGTATCTACAATATTGCCATTTCAAATAAGTTTTTACCAAGTAAAAAATTTGTACAATATGACCCCACTTTTTGCCTTTAATTTTGACTCAAAATTTCTCATGCACAAAAAAAAATTCAAAATTAAACAGGTATATATACAAAGTTTGGCATACATATGGGTGGCATTTCATGAGAAACAGATTACTCTGTAGTAATGATCAACCAGACTATCTTGTTAACCACAGCCCCATGTCAAGTTGCTCCTCAAAGGTCAATTGCAATAGTGTAAGCCAGTGGATCATATACAAGTGCAAGAACTAGAATTGCTCTTCATTGAGCAATGCGTTGGAATTTACTATCTACCAAATATCTCAGATGAAAACTAAATTCAAGAGGACTTCTTCAGTCAATTAATTCAAAAGATTTTGGGGAAGTAGGGGGGGGGGGTGACCAAAAAAAAAAGTGCTGGTGTTGCCATCATCAACAATAATATATCATTAACTTAGAAGAAAGCTAGAATCGCTGATTTCATCATCTTACAAACATCAGAATACTAATTTTAGGAAATGTACTTGTCAGCATTCCCTTGTACTAATAAAGAGACAAAGGGTACATTTGCTTTTCTTTACTTTTTTTGTTGGGGGGATGAGGGGATGGACTGACTCCAAAGTTGCTATTAATTGTCCTTGATTATATATAATGTAAGAGTAAAAAAAGTATCATTATTTTAATTACCAAGTATCTTTTCTTAGAACTAGTAGTATGAGAGTCAGCCTTTCCATTATCTTAACATTTACTCAAAGGTAAAGGAGTAAGATTCTTAGAGAATTTCAGATGGAATCTACCATTAATACCAAAAATTGTGACCACAATCTTAACATGCAGATGACAGTGTTGATAGCAGATATAAAAATATAGCAACTCTCATATAAGGTAGTAAATGAAAGCAAGAAGAAAAGACTAAACACCAAGGTATGGTCATCAACAAAAAAGAGCCAAACATGTGAATTACTAATTGGAGATGCCAAACTCTAGCAAGTACAAAGAATTAAATATCTAGGAAGTGCTTTAACAGAGGACTGAAAGTGTGACACTGAAATTCAAAGGCATATTCAGATGTTGAAAGATGCCTTCCAAAAGCTAAGCAATGTATTAAGAAACATTAAAATCTTGTTAAAAACAAAGATTAACTGTTATGTAATATCAGACAGTGAATGCTGAACAATCTCCATACAGATGAAAAACTTGAAGCAACTGAGTTGTAGTTCTACAGAAGACTGAGAATGCCATGGAATGAACACGAGTGCAACAATGAAGTGTTACAGAAAATGGAAAAAAAAAAAAAAAAAAAAAAAAAGACATTTATAAGTAGATTCAAAAAGAGTTGAAATTTCTAGGGCATATAATGTTGGGGGAGAAGAGCTTAGAAAAATTGATGTTCACAGGGCATATTGAACACAAGAGGGAGAGAGGAATGCCATGAATAACCCTATCTAATTAGTGTGTGTAAATGGTTGGCTGAAAAGGGATTATGAAAGATAGCAAAAAGACAAAATTTACTGAGAGCTACAAAGGACAAGAAATTGTGGAGAGCCATGATCGCCTATGTCCTGAAGGGACATGGCACATAGAAGTACCATTCTGATGCTAATGTGATTAGGATCAGAAAAAGACACTGAAAATTAATGAGGGAAGACAGCTTAGAGAATATGACACACACAGGATGAAAAGGAAAGAAAGAGAGAAACAGTGAGCAACCTTGTATAAATGAGGTGTACAGTGTAGAGTGCTATGACCATTTAAATCCTGAAGGGACATAATACAAAAAAGTATCATTGCTTTTATTTATCTGGATTTTCCCTCCCTCCAGATCTAAAAATACTCTTCTATCATTATACCATTAATTCAAAGTACAACAAAAATGGTTTTCATGGAAGCCACTAAGAAAATTTTTCTGTCTGAATTTTTGGGATGAGAATTTATCCTTATTTATATTTGATTTAATGTCCTCATCTTTGTTGATGCTATCATAATGTTTCTGTCAGTGTGCTCTCCAGCCTTCTTCAGGTATCAGTTGATCCAGATAGCCTCCAGGGACCTTTATTTAATCTACAAGGGAAGATTCTTGTTCCACTGTCCAAGTCTGGAGATATCTCACAGGCTTCTTTTTAATACTGCTCAGTTATGGCTCACCTTGTTTCTCCAGACTCTAAGAGTGTACTATTTGATCTAGAGATTGAACTCAATGACTATGTCACTAAATCCATAAGCAATGCTTTAATCCACTAGGCTATTTTCCTCCCATGAGACAATCCTGAATTTTTGAGCCTTAGACTTAAATGTTCTTGCTTACCTGCTGTTATACTTGACCTCCTTTACAACTACTTTCCCTACTGAGAAAAGTTTACAATAATACCAACAAGAGCAGTAAATAACTTGAATATCAAAAGTGTTAATTAATTGAACATTAAACAAGCCATCATATAGTTGTTCTTCAACTAAGAATTCAATTTTTTTTTTTTTAATAACCTCACATCGAAAAAACAACTGAAGTTTCCTTTCTATGGGAAATCTTGTTTTGCATCAGATTTAAATTCTATCCCAACTCTATATAGAATATCAGACAGTTATTCTATTATTCAATTTGGTTTTAGAAAATTTGATTTCAAATCTTTAGAATAATGATTTTCCATCAGGATGATAAATTTATTCATTTATTTTCTGCTTTTCTTAAAACCATGATGAAATCTGATTCAATTGGAAACCTGAATTCTCTTAAGTCAAAAGCAATAGACGTTTTGATTCCTTTACATCTTAATTTATAACAGGGAAATTCTATATGAAATATATTCTTTCATTTTAATCAAAAGGTAGCTTGATTAACACATTTTTTCCCTTTTTGGCTCTTAAAGCAAAATGAATTCAGTAAGCCTTTCACTTGCAATAATTCTTTATGTTGTAGGTTTTTTTGGATTTTTTTTTTTAAGGAAGAAATCTTTATATTTTTCATTCTATTCAGAAATAACTAGATGTTCTATGAATTCAATCTTTTTTTTTTTTTTTTTTAAACAAGGTGCTAAAATTTTGTATTAACTGAAATTTGCTTCTTTATGTTTTTAAAATTCATTTTTGTTATGAAGAAGCCTGTTACTTATTTGCATTCAAATATAATCAGGTTTCTCCCCAACCTGAAGATTATCAACATTACCCATAAAAGAATTTATCAAAAATAATTATGAATAGACAGAATTTAATATAGATTTAATTATCATCACAAAGTACATTTTACATTTTCATCTTCCAAATAAACATAACACTGAATAGAGGAAGCAAACAAATACGTTTACACTCAAATTTGAATTTTTCACACTAAAAGATTTTTGTCTACTCCCTTTTCAAATCTCAGCTCAATTAGTTTCTGTCTCTATTTCAAGTGAACTTAAACATGATTAACTAGTTTCTTCCATTAAAGATGCACTTTTTACAATCCTAGCCTAACTTCCACTGTGGTACGTGCTGCTTATTGACCCAAAGTGACAAACAGTATATGAAAAACTGGTTTACTAATCATGATTGTTAGAAACCAAGAAAAAGACTACTGAACTGTTATGTAATATCAATCTTCCTATATGACAATGAAGGCTGGACAATCTTATCACAGATGTACAAGATACTTGAAGCAACAGAAATATGATAATACCATGGATTGAAGATGTGAGCAATGACAAAGTTTTAGAGAAAATGAAAATAAAAAGGACACTAAAACTTAACATCAGAAAGAGTTAAAATTTCTAGAGCACATAATGAGAAAAGAGGGCTTGGAAAACGTGATACCCACAGGACTGACTGAAGGCAAGAGGGATAAAGGAAAACAATGCATAACCTACCTGGTGAGCTTGAGTAAATGGATGGCAGAACAGGGTTCAGGAGAGATAACAAAAAGACAAAATTTATTAAGAGCTACAAAGGATAGGAATTTGTGTAGTGCCATGGCGCA